TTTAGAGGGACATTCTCTAGTAATCCTGGCAACTCATTTATTAAAAATTAAAAAGTCGATAGCTCTTATACCAACTTCCGACGAAGTTTGAGACCTCGAGTCATTTAAACTACCTATTTTTCCCTCGTAACGACCTACCTAACCTGAAAATCATATGTCAAACTGAAAAACTGCTAATTCGGTTCAATGTTGGTACTATTATTGTGTGTTGTCTATGTTATTATGAAGCATTTTAAAATGGTGTAAGTTAAGGATTTGCCCCGAGGAGGAATAGTCCAGTCATCTAGGCATTTTACCTCGGAATCTAACGGAATAAGCTGAATTTTTGTACAAACCTTTATTTTAGCATTGCAAATGTTGTCTCAAAAGTCACATATGCCAACGTGTGAGCGGCCTTAGATATTCAAGGTCAAAGGTCGCAAAAATCAATTTTTTGAGAATATCTCCTTTTCTCTGCCTCCTATCGTATTTGCATTTATTATACAAGTTGTAGAGAATAAAATTCTCTACAAATTTTGTTTAAAACATTTTTTTATACGTCTAATCGTTTTTGAGATAGAGGTCGCAGAGTGTGGAGCGCTCAGCCATACGTACCTTTAGCGCAAGGTAAATCATGAATCTCAATCTATTATACCGTTTTTTAATTAATTATTTATTAAATATTACTTAAATAACAATTTAATACCTTATATTTATTTTTAAATATTTTTTTAAAACAAATAGTCATTAAATATTACTTACTTTTGACATACAAATAATTAAATAATGAAGTGAATCATTCTAAATATATTCTAATGTTATTCTAATTAATGATAAATGCATTTTAAGAAGAAAAGACATTAAATGAATTTGCCTTAAATATGTCTCTGGTCATCTCTTTCCAGATATTGCTTTTAAAATAACAGACCTGGAAATACTATAGTGGGCTTGCTATAAATAAAAAGGTTAGGTAAACCTATATTTAAAGCAAGTTGTGACCCTAGGTATAGGTCTAGGGTTGTGACAGGTAATATTCGTAATATTTTAAAGGTTAACATGGCTGATTTGTGTTTTATTTGTAATAAGTTACTTTCTGAAGGAGACTCTGTGACTTTTGTGCGCGGTATAAAGACTTTAAAAGAAGCAATTATTGAGAGAAATAAACATAAACTACCTAAATACTTTGACTTCTGTGAACGTTCATATTGAGTGTCGAAAATTGTTCGCTATAGCATCGCCTTGAAGAGACTGGACCTTCAACGTCATCAACTGTACCTCATAAAAAAGAGAATGATGTGTTTGATTTTAAAATATTGTGCTTATTTTGTGGTGAAGTCGCAGATGAGGCAACAAAGGCAAAACAATCTGCTAAGTACAAACGCGTTATAAGTAAGTTTTTGAAGATATGACAATTAATGTCAATGATATCGAGGAGAGTGATGATGAGAATGAGTCTGAAATTGCTGGCCAACCTGAAGAAGACGAGGATGAAGAAGATAAAGATTAATAATAATAATATTGATATAAATAAAAACATTTTTTCCTACTCCAATTATCCCTCATTAAAATTAAATTAAAATATAAGATATATATGAAGATAAAATATATTTGATTTATAAGAAATATAAATATAAGTATAAGGTATTAAATTTTTATTTTAATAATATTAAATTATAATTAATTAAAAAACCGGTATAATAGATTGGGATTTACGATTTACCTTGCGCTAAAGGTACGTATGGCTGAGCGCTCCACACTCTGCGCCCTCTATCTCAAAAACGGTTCGACGTATAAAAAAATTTTGTAAACAAAATTTGTAGAGAATTTTATTCTCTACAACTTCTATAATAAATTCAAATACGATAGGAGGCAGAGAAAACGAGATATTCTTAAAAAACTGATTTTTGCGACCTTTGACCTTGAATATCTAAGGCCGCTCACACGTTGGCATATGTGACTTTTAAGACAACATTTGTAATGCTAAAATAAAGGTTTTCACAAACATTCAGCTTATTCCGTTAGATTCCGAGGTTGATCCCTTTTTTTGACTAAGATGACTGTACTAGAAGTGGAGCCCGTGCCGCATAGGTGGGAAGAGAAAGAGACACTCTGGTTCCCCAAATCATTGAGCCAAACGATTCTCTTTCGAGAACAAATTAATAGTTCTCCCGATAAAAAAATTGGAGGCAATATAAGTGCAAGGCTATGCAACCTTTAAATTTGCCACGGATGCTGCAAACAATAACTTCAGCATCTGAACAAGAGCACGAGGTCCCCATACATATATTGCAATATATGTATGGGGGCCTCGTGCTCTTTTACAGATGCTGATGTCTCTGACACTGAGATACCACAGTTATTGTTTCATGAATACTAAGAGAGAGGTAAAACCTTCCCTAAAATATAAAGAGTATGATGATGTACCATCATATAAATTTGCTAAAGAAAATTTTATACCCCAACTAGCCAAAAAAGTGTGTCAGAAAAAGGCTGACGAAAACACTATAAAAATTCTTTTTTTCTTTTGTGCAAGTTTAGTCGGAAGGCAGAAAAATGTTTATTGGGTATGAAAACAAAAACTTTGTTTCCATAGTTTTTTAAAGAACATTAGATAATAATTTATTTGTTAAAATTTTTAAATTTCGCTATAACTTGAAAACAAATAAGAATTGGATGAGAACAGTTGAGTTTTTTTTATTATTTTGATGTGTAGAATGCAGTTCTAGAGTTTAGTGCGATCCTTCCGATTCACCCTGTATATCAATTTATTAATTTAAGTATGAAAAAATGGGTATTTAACTCAAATGTCAATAAAAACTTATATAGAAAACCTTTTATAACGTCATGAATAGCGTAACTGGCGGGATACTAGGGTTACCAGATTCTGTCAAAAAAAAACATTTTATGTGAATTAACCTTAATTACAAAAATGACATAATCAACAATAATTAAGTAACGTCAAACTTACAATTTGCCTTGTATTAATTTGTCAATTTTGTAATTAAGATAAATTCATACAAAATGTCCCGATTTTTTTTGACAGAATCTGGTAACCCTACGGGATACTGTAAAATTTGGATGAAAGCATATGATAATAATTTTTTGTGTAAAACTTGAATATTAACCATAAACAAGCACGTATTTTAAATAAACAAAAATTGCATAATTTATTTTCTAAAATTTGAACATTTTATCGAGTATTGAAACTCTTCCTTGTTTATTCTTAATGTTAGCTTCTTAGCATCACAATGTACGAATATTTTAAATTACGTCGCAATTAAACTATTTGACTTCTTCAGATATAGTTGTTATTTTGTTAAATAACACATCTGATTTTTTGTCATGGTTGGGTAAGGTTTCGTGGAAATATCCTATAGGCATATTAAATGGTTACCATCGTGTAAAAGTTGTATATTTAAAAAAAAAATTAGAAGTTTTTTTAAAGTAAATTTACTTTAAAAAAACTTCTAATTTTTTTTTATTAATAACTACAAAATATTATTATTGATCCACTTTGACAATAATATCATAATCATAATGTTTTCAACGTTTCCCGCAATTGGGTGGAGATGTGACATATACGGAACACTTGTTGAATTTAAATTGACTCATCAAGTTTGGCAAACTTGCCTAACATTTGACATTCATCTAGTTCGCCGCATAGTGTGGAGCCTGCTTAATACGTACAAATATTCTACAAAAAGCTCGACATGCTGTACCGACAAAACCTAACTGTCGTTTGTATATGTATATCAGAGTATGATTATATTTGTAATATGTGTATATATGTCTATAGAGGATATCGGGCCAAGCTAAATCATTGCGAATTAACATTGTTAGAGAGGCATTTAAGAATTTCGACGTCTTCAAAAAGCTTGTGCCGTCAAAACTAAAATGGATTGTAGGAAACTGACACATTGATAGAATATAATTTATTAAAAAATCTAATTCTTGCATTTTTACAAAAACCTACTTTTACAGTTACCAGTTGTCTTTTAATTGGATTCTGGGTCATGCAAAATTTATGGTTTGATAAATTGATTTTCTCAGTTGTAATAGGAGGAAAAGTTATTTTATACCTGGATAGCATTTTTTGCTTGTAACATTATTGACTTGCGAGTAATATTAATTTATGACAATGGATGTGTTTTTCATCAATCAAGTTTTGGTTTTAGATGTATTTAATCTTACATCATTATTTGGCCTTATTGTTTTTTTACGTGGCCCTGTCAAAAACAGAATGACTTTTATATAAAAAATAAGCCTACCATAAATAAAATAATAATTATAAGTTAAACGGTTTTAGCAGAATTTACATGAAAAGTATTTTTCCCAAAAGAGAGCGGAAAGTTGCTACTTTCCAAACGCGAAACCGTGCATAAAGTAGCATTTTTCCGCATGCTCGATAGTGCGAAAAGTAAATGCTTGTGGAAAACATATTTTTCCAATAATGGAAATTTGCAGTATTCCCTTGCTTGTAAAAAAATATCGTCCAAAGAAAGTCGCGTGCACTAGCTAAATAACTATTTTCTACAAGCGTGAGGAAAGTAGCAACTATTTCTACAAATGATAACTTGCGAGATTCCCTTGCCTGTATAAAATTTATTGTACCATATATGCGCAGAGAATGTCTTTTCCGCCATCAACTGCTGACCGAACTCCGTTACGCGTCGTTTGTTCAACGGCAGCCGCGTTCGGAAAAGTAGCACTTTCCGCACTAGTTAGGTATATAACTATTACATTCATTGCTATGCACGCAAAATACTTATAAATCCGTTTCAAAATTTCTCCTTACATTTTTAGTAATGTATAAACTGTGCGATACAGTTTTCGAAAAAAAATTTGTTTGTTAGTCGATTGAGAACGTCTTTTGCATTCTCTAATGATTTTCATTGTTAAATGCAAAAGTGATATTTTGCAACCTGGCATCAAAAATAACTATATTCGAATAAAGTAAATCAATTAAGTTTAAATGCAAAATTAAATTATTAGTGGAGAAATTTAATGTTTGTTTTTCACAGGCCCATGACGAAGGGGGAAATAGGCTGTTTCTTGAGTCATTACAACATCTGGAAAGAAGTAAGTAATGATGTATTTACGTCTAACCGGACCCAACCTAAACCTACAATGTTTGTTATTTGCAGATTATAGACAAAGGGTACAAACAAACTCTGGTTCTTGAAGACGATATCCGGTTCGAGTCATTTTTTAGATCGAGGGTAAAGATTGTAATGAATGATTTATTAAAAATTCCTGACTGGGATCTTGTGTAAGTTAAAATTCTTTTAATATATTTTTAATTTCAATCATTTCAGCTATTTATATAAAATTAAATTTGAACAGGATAAAAAACTTATATAATATACCATTATATACAGGGTCCTGCAAACTAACCTTTAGTCTTCTGTAGCTCAATAATTATTATTAATTAAGTTTAGTTATATATGTTACGGTTAATCTGCAAACTTGGATAGTTTATAAACTAGCCAAACTGTCAGCTATTTTAATTGAAAATGTATTTTTAACTAAATTAGCGGCTAGTTTACAAAATAACCAAAGGATCTTGGCTAATTTACTTGAAATTATTAGGGAAACTAAAATAGCTGGATAGTTTGTATACTATCCAATTCAATTTGGCTAATATGAAAACCAACATTTCTAGTAACACAAAATAGCCAAGCTTTAGCAAGTTTGTAAACTAACCAACTAATTCTCAGTATAGTCTGAAACACATTTGGAATTGCATATTCCGCTCTCGTGAAACCGTCAAACTCGCTTTCGGCTCGTGTGACAAACTCTTCACTCGAGCGAAATATGCTGTATTCCAAACTTGTTACAGAATATACTATTCATTTAAGACAAGACAAGATATCTTTTTAATATTTTTAAAAATTAAGAACGGTAAAATGTGGACAAAACTGAACCAAGAAATGGCGTAATTTAAATATATATATATATATATATATACATATATATATATATATATATACCGTACCTTCATTTGCAAGCTAACCATAGGGAAAATACATTGTAACTGGACCAGACATGCGTACTAAAACAAATTTTACCAGATTTACACCGCACAAAATAAAAAACAATAATAAAGCATCGATGTATGAAGCAAGGTCAAATGTTACGGCGCATGCTAGCGTACTCGTCCACGCGTCCAAATCATTTCTACAACGTTTCGTGCTGACTAAGACTTATCTGGTCCAGTTACAATGTATTTTCCCTATGGTTAGCTTGCAAATGAAGGTACGGTATAAATTTTTTTTCTCTCTTACCCTCTCAAATGTTTCTATTCCATTTCTATTTAATATAAAAAAAAATCCTTAAAAAATATGGGCGTTCCAACTCTAAGAGGTCGCTGTTTTTATTTTAGTTTTCCCAAAAAATAATTTTGTTTGGAATTTTATACCTCTATATCAAAGTAACTTATGGTAATGATTATTGTAGTTTTTTATATAAAATGTAACGCTCTACAAAAAAGGTCTCTTAATATTTTTCTATAAATTAATTTCTTCTAGAGTTATTCGAGGTCAAAGTTTGATTAACATCAAATTTTCTGTTTTTTTTTAATTTTATGGTACAGGGTGATCCCCTATAATGTCGCCCCCCTTTAACTTTTTTATTTTAAGTATCCCAAAAAATTTAAAAGTGTGGTTATGTAGGAACTAAAAAATACTTTTTTTCTACGTTTAAAGAAAATTGGAAAATTGATCAGTATACAGGGAAAACCAAAAAAATTATTTTTTTTCAATGGATCACCCTATATATGAAAATTCTGAGCATAATTCATATAACATACCATATACCTAAATTCAACCGTTTCTGAAATATTTAAATTATTTTTAAGATAATAAGTTGAAATAATTTGTCTTTCTCTGTCTGAGTAGGCCATTTTTACTTATTTAACAAGACATATTGACATAATATCACTATAATGATTTATTTTCAATACAAGTTTTGGTATACTAAGGCTTCTTGATTTCTAACAGTTTAAAAAAACATTTAATGATAACATTTCGAATGCGAATATTTCAAAAACAGTTGGATTTAGGATATGGTTTGTTATATGAATTATGCTCAGAATTTTACAAGGAATCGAAAAATAAATTCAAATATAGGGTGATCCATTGAAAAAAAATAAACTTTTTGTTTTTCCCTGTATATTGATCAATTTTCCAATTTTCTTTAAACGTAGAAAAAAAGTATTTTTTAGTTCCTACATAACCACACTTTTAAATTTTTTGGGACACTTAAAATAAAAAAGTTAAAGGGGGGCGACATTATAGGGGATCACCCTGTACAATTAGCAGACGGGAGGTGAAAGGGGGCAAAACAAGGGAGCGGAGGGATAAGTTCACACTTTTAATCGAAAATAATTAATCTGATCCTGTAGAGCAATAGTTCCCAACCAGTGGTCCGTGGACCACCAGTGGTCCGCAGAAGCCAAAATATGGTCCGCGGGGCCGCCCACAATTGAACGCGTATCGTGTGCAAGGAATTACCTACGCTTTGCGCTTTCATTTGTTATATTTTAGTGTCAGTAATAGTATTTAGTATTACTTAACTGGGCGAGGAAGTGAATCATTCATTACTGACCGTTGTTCTTAACTTTATTTCTTGAATTTGTTCGTAAATAATATAGGTAGGTAATAATACAGTGGCGGCCCGTGCTAAAAATGATTGCCTGTTCTGCAAAAAAAGTGAAGTAAAAGTAAAGTAAAATATCAGTTTAAGTAGAAAAGCTTTATTTAATTTTTTTAAACTGCGCCTTTCCTTCTTTGCTGCAAACTTATCAATTACTTTTTCGTTAAAGTTTTGTATTGATGCGATAAATTTTTTTTCAATAGATAACATCGAAAGAGCCGTCAATCGATCTTCACACATTGAATTTCTTAAAAACGTTTTGATCCGCTTTAATGTCGAAAAACTACGTTCCGCTTCAGCAGTAGTCATTGGAGTTGTCACAAGAATTTGTAATAGCTTCTTAGTTTCCCCCATTGTTTCTTCCAGGTTATTTGAAATTATAAATTTAAGTAATGGTACTGCACCACGTAAATCTCTACATTCACAATTGGAATATATCACAGAAAGTTCCGTTTTGAGTCGAATTTTATTTAAAACTTTATATGAAGTACAAGTTAAGTCTAACTCTTGGTCCGGAAATTTGTTATGATATTCCACAAATTTTTCCGAAATCAAAAGTGATGCGGCTACCAAGTGGCCTGTGAAGGCAAAACGTTCCTTTGCGTTGCTTATAATTACGTCACATACCTCTAAACAAGCAATGCGATGATCTGATTTGTTTTCATTAGGGCGTTTCCTTTTTGCGACGGTTGGAGCAATTTCAAAATTCGAAGCTTCTTCTACAATGGAGTCTATTTTATTTCGGATAACATTAATATTTTGTTCAAACGTTGCTGTGACTGTTTGAGCTGCTGTCGGATCCATTATTCTTTTTTGAAGTTGATTAAATAAAATATCCACATGTGGCATAATATGATGAAAGAACGTTAACCAAATTAAATGACATTTTAGTAAGTCTTGCCACATATTATTAGTCGCTAAATAATTATTATGAAATAATAATAATAATGGTAATAAATTATAATTAATTAATTCAGTTTAGAAATACAGTCTTCCCTGTTTTTATTTTTTACCCTTTAATGCCTTTTGCTTAAACATAATTGTGTTAAAAGTCTGGCTATTGAACAATGTTATTTATCGTACTGGAGAAACAACAGAAATACTCGAATACGTTACTGGTAGTCCAGAAAACAACCAATTGCATATGCTGATGTGTATACGATTATTATTATATTAATAATTTGGTTATTTATGAAATTAAACTTCATTATTAAATTTATAATTAATTGGCCCTTTTTTGTCAGGCGTTAACTACAAATTTACCCATAGGAATGCTTAAAAAATAACAAAATCCAGATATTTGTCATACTAACCATTTTCTGTTGTAGTTATAAAGGGTGTATCAATAAGAGCGCAAGATTTTAAAGTTTAGTCAAACATGGTTTTAAGTATTAAAGCATTGAAATATTTATTGATTTATAAAGTACACATTTGGAAATTATGTATAAAATAACACATTTGGTAAATGGCCACCACGGCTTGACTGGCACAAGCGTATTCTTTTGGCAAAATTTGCAATAACATTGAATACATGTGGCGGTATTTCGTTGATAGAGCGTCTAATTTCTGCTTTTAAGGCTTTGATGGTGGCGGGCTTGTTGGCATAAACTTGTGACTTCAAATAATCCCACATCCAAAAGTCCAAGGGTGTTAAATAGTGGTGAAAATGGGCCTCATCCACAGACCTACAAACAAGATGGACCGGTTTATTTACATTGAAAAGAGTGGCCAGGAACAAAAATAAATATTTTCCCTCAGTTGTCACATTTGACTTTGAAGTTTCTATATTTTACGTAAAAGATACTTGGAATCCACAACATTTAATATTTTTTATTTGATTTTATAGTGAAAAATACCAATAGTGAGTGATATAAAAATGGTGAAGCAGTGCTACGTTTGTAAAAGACTTGGATCCAAGAATTTAAAACTTTCTTTTCATAGGTTAGTTTATTTACAAAACAAACCCTGCCAGGAGCTACGTTTGTAAAAGACTTGGATCCAAGAATTTAAAACTTTCTTTTCATAGGTTAGTTTATTTACAAAACAAACCCTGCCAGGAGCGTAGAAACTGAATAAATAAATGAATTCACTTAAATTTTAGATTTAAACAGCCAGATTCTACATTATCTGGAACACTAACTGACAAGGTTAGTATTTTGTTATACCTATATATTTATATATATTAAATATAATTTTTACATAGGATTGCAAAACACAATAAAAAATGTACAATTTAATATTTTTATTTATCCCTAAAAACAGAACGCCACTGGTGTGGGAACTTGTTTATAAATACCCCTTACCCCTTTACCCCTAATCTAAATAGTTCTTGGCAACAAAACATTGTGTATTTTGAATAGGAAAGGCCAGTCCATCTTGTTTGTAGGTCTGTGGCCTCATCACTGAAAATGATTTTGTCCGCAAATTCGGCATTCACTTCTTGCTGCTCAAGGATCCAATTGGTGAACTCTCTTCGCTGTTCATGGTCTTTTGGCTGGAGTTGTTGAGTCAATTGGACTTTGTAGGCATGAAGATGCAAATCTTAAGTGCGCCGAAGAGTGGCTTTTGTAATGTCCAATTCTTGTGCACGATGGCAAATCGACGTCTCTGGACTCT